ACGAGTGAGTCTGTATGCTCTAGGGGCAGAACCCTGCTGCCCAGGGTGGGAAGGGTCAGTTCTGCTCCGCTCATCCAGGCCACACACGTGTTGGGAGGCAGCCACAGGCCAGGCATCGAAGACCAAGGCTGAGAAGGTGAGGCCAGCGGAAAAGGAGCCTGTGGGCAGTTCTCACATACAGGCTTCCAGAGGGGTCCATGGCCTTAAGCACCGTCAGTGGGAGGTAGCGAGCGTTGGTCTGTCTGCGGAGTGGGGGTCTGGCAGAACCGATGACCTTGGCAATGACCTGTGGGGGGGGACGCTGAGTTCTAGGACTTACCGAGTTCTCCCACATTTCCAGCCATCGTGTCTGTCCACTCACCTGGGCCACATCCCTTGGGCTCTGTCCCACAGAGCGGAAGAGCTCCCTGGAGGCTGGGAGGTACAAGTCCCGGAAGTAGCCCAGGGTTTCAGGGTCAGTGTCTGGAAACTCCGTCATGGAAACCTGAGCCAGGAGTTTTCCTTCAAAGTCAGTGGCGACTGGACCTGGCTCCACCATTGAGATGCTGGGAAGAGGGCCAAGGCTTGGATGTGGGGCTTCTGCAAACTCGCTCACTGGCCTATTGCCCTCACTCATTTCCCCCAGATGTCATTATTATTACTGTTGTTGTTCTTTTGAGACAGGGTCTCACGGTGCAGCCCTGCCCTCTTCTGTATTACTCCATCTTTCTTCATTCTCCGTCGCCTCCTCCACCTGTTTCCCCACCTTCCTCCCTCCTCCCACTCTGAAAAAGGCTTTCATTAGCATATATTAATTATGCATAATAATGGGTTTCTTTTTTAAAAAATATTTTTGAGTCAGGGTTTCTCTATGTAACAGCCCTGGCTATCCTGGATCTCACTCTGTAGACCAGGCTGGCCTCGAACTCACTGAGAGCCACCTGCCTCTGCCTCCCGAGTGCTGGGATTAAAGAGGTGCACCACCTCACCTGGCTAATGGGTATCTTATGCACATAATGTGCTTTGATCGTATTCACCTCTTCTCATCCCTCCCACTCCTGCTGACCCCCCCCTCCTCCAGCCAGCTCCCACGTCTATCTTCATGTCTTTTTCTTTTTTTGTGACCCAGCGAGTTTCATGCGGGCTGCTTACAGAGCGTGGGTGAGGCTGTCCCCAGGGCTGTGGGCTCCTCACCAGCGGCCACACCACTGAGGAAATCTCTCTTCCTCCCAAGCAACCATTGACCGTGTGCCAGTCCTTAGCAAGGGGCTGGGCCTCATTAGTGCCCTGCTCTATTAACCTGCCTTCCACACTCTGCTCTTCACTGTCTCCCGCATCGCCATTTCCCTTTTCCCGTGGCTGCCTAGGTGCCCGACTCACAAGATATTGAATTGTCGCAGCTGGATAGCGAGACTCTCGAAGAATCCTTCCAGGGCGAACTTGGAGGCTGCATAGACATCGTTGAACATGACACCTGGAAGGGGAGGAGGGAGGAGGACTTAGGGGTGTGTGTGCCAGGGACAGACTTTGTGGGTCCCGGCCTGATGAGGTCTTTGGAACACAGAGCAAGGAGGATTTGAGCATTTGAATGAGGGGACAGGATCATGGGTGTCTGGAACTGTGCAATGGGCCCACATAGCATAGGATGAGATCATTCTGGATAATGTGTCACCACCCTTCAGCTCTACTTGCTCTCAGCAAACTGCCCTATTTCCCTCCATCCATAGCATGGTCCATTCACTTATGGCATCCTCACGGTCCATGGGCACAGTGACTTGTTAATTCTTCTCCATAGCCAGAGCAATTGGAGGGTGACTGGGGAAGGCGTCATATCACAGAGTATGTCCAGGAGGAGGAGGGGAGGGGGTCTAGAAGGATTCGAGGAGGAAGAAGACCCCAGGAGCATAGATGACAACAGGTAGGTGGCTTTGGGAGTAGGTCCATGGCAGACATCACAAATCCATCTCTGTCTTTCTGTGAGTCTCAGAATTCCAACACTGTCTACATCCCTAGGGCCTGATGGGGGCTTTTGTCAAGGAGGGGGAACTCTGATGGTTCATTTGGATTTCAGGGGTGTGAGTGGAAGAATGTGTCAGGTGTATCCAGAAGTGGAGTTGATTCTGGGATGTGGATGGCGGTCTATGACATGCATTCCGTTACTGCTTTCTCTTACACCAGGACAGTAAAAGGAAGTCAATCCCAGAACATTTCCTTCCTGGGCTTCAGAATCCTTCTCGAGACAAGTTTGTGTGGACTATGAGCTAAAACTTACTTGCTACCCTTCAAATCCTGGATGGGGGGTCCCCAGACTTACCCTGGAGCCCCATAACACTGCTGACCACCACGATGTGTCCCTGTCGCCTCCTCTTCATGCCTGGAAGCACAGCTTTGACCAGACGGACAGCCCCAAAAAAGTTGGTGTTGAACACGTTCTGCACAGTAGCCAGGCTGAGTTCCTCCAGGGGCCCCACGAGGCCGACTCCTGCGTTGTTCACTGAGGGGGTGTGCAGAGAGTGAGGTCAACCCCAGGACCTGAGTCCTCAGAACAAGTCTAGGAGACGTGGAATCTAGGTGGTAGCAAGCAGTTTGGAGCTTGTCCAGACCTCTGGGCCTGGGAGAGTGGGTGGAAGAGCGAGAAACCAAATCTTTGTCATACCATCCATGAGCAATTCCTGTCTTCCCCCAAATTGCACCAAGATGGCCAGACCCACCCGCCTTAGCAGGCTCCATGAGGACATGAGCGGCCGCTTCATCATCCTCCTGTCTCCACATGACTCACTGAAGTAATTTTCCCAACCACATATGATTTTCTCTTTATGTGAGGATGTCTCTCCCATGCAGCCCCTCCCCCAAAGTCTGGCATCTCTAATTAACAGATTGGTACTCCTGACTCTTGGCCAACTGGTCTACCCCTTTACCTTGGGCTAGAAGCTGTCATTTTGCTGAGGGTGAACACTTGAGTTGATGTGTATATGTGGTGACCCCAGGGGCTTCCAAGTCTCACCCAGCACATCCACTCGGCCTCCCTCGATGTGGCTGAGACAGTTAGCCACTGACTCGTCACTGCACACGTCCAGCTGGGCCACGCTGAGTGTCTTCCCCAGAGCCTCTCCAGCAGCTGCCTCCAATGGCTCCTTCTTCCCCAGGTCCCTCATGGTGGCCACCACTGGAGGCAGAGAGCAGAACTGGACAGGTGCTGGGCTCCTTTGCTCTATGTGTTTCTGTAGGATGGGTGTGTCCGTGTATGTCTGTCCATGTGTGTGTACAGGCCAAGGATAATTCTGGGTGTCATTCCTTAGGGGACTACTAATTCCCCCCCCCAAATTGTGTGTGTGTGTGTGTGTGTGTGTGTGTGTGTGTGTGTGTGTGTGTGTGTAAGCACATGGGCCATGGCACATGCCAGAGGACAACAGAAGAGTCAGTTTTCTCTTTACACTGTGGGGTGTGAACTCAGCTTGTCAGGCTTGACAGGCAAATCCTTCTACCTGTGAGCCATCTCGCCAGCCCCACCTTTTTTTGAGACAATCTCGTCCTGAATTTGGAACTCATCAAATAGACTCCACCTCCCTCTGCCTCTCCAGTGCTGAGCCTGGCTGTTTTACCTGGGTGTGGGATAGAACTCAGGTCTTCACGCTTGTGTGGAAAGCACTTTATCAAGTGAACCGTCTCTCAGACCTACTGTTGTTGTTATTTTATTTTATTTTATTTTTATTGATTGATTGATTGATTGGTTTTGTTTTTTTGAGACAGAGTTTCTCTGTGTAGCCCTGGCTGTCCTGGAACTCACTGTATAGACCAGGCTGGCCTCAAACTCAGAGATCCACCTGCCTCTGCCTCCTGAGTGCTGGGATTAAAGCCATGTGCCACTATCACCCTACCTTTTTTTTTTTTTTTTTTTTTTTATGCTTGTGAGTGTTTTGTCTGTGTATGTATATGTATATCATGTGTGTGTTTATGGATGGTTGTGAGCCACCATGTGGATGATGGAAACTGAACCCAAGTCCTCTGCTAGAACAGCAAGTGCTCTTAACCACTGAGCCATCTTTCTAGTTCTCCTGTTTTTGTTTAAAGACAGGGTCTTGCTATGTAGCCTCGGCTGGCCGAAAACTGAATACGTAAACCAAGCTGGCCTTGAGCTTGTGAAGATTTTCCTGCCTCAGCCTCCTGAGTGTTGGAATGACAGCTGTGAGCTACCATGCCCAGCTGTTTCTATGGTCTTGCACAAATAGTCACAGATAGAGACCCACATGTTTACACATTTACATTTAGCACCAATCCAACAAATGCACAAATGTTCACACACTCCAACAAATATGTACACACACACACACACACACACACACACACACACACACACACACACACACAGCAACCAACAGCAAGAGAAACCCAACCCCCTTTAGCAATATTATTTTTAAAAAGTGTTCTACTTAGCCGGGCGGTGGTGGCGCACCCCTTTAATC